CCTAGAGCTAAGCCATGCGTGAGCAGACCCCGTCATATATCTGATAGACCCCCCAACCCAGTATCGTAGTTGTGTGTATGTGTGTGTGCCCAGAGGCTATGTATGTTTGTATGAGCCCATAGGGCCGTGTGTTTTGTATCTGCCCGAAGGCCATGTATGCTATGTGTAACTGTATAGCGAGATGTATGTGCCCAAAGGCCGGATATGTGCAGTACTATGTAGATTGAACTATGTGTTTGTTTGAAGAGATGACAGGCCAAGCTGGACAAGAACCCCCCCCAAAGTCCCAAGCCAGACTCGAACCCGTGATCTATGACATGTGACCTGAAGACTCTACCATTTGAACAACAATCGCAAACGGCCCGTGTGTGATATGCCAGACTGGGGAGATCAACAGAACAACCACGAGCAACAGCCACAAGCAACCCACACAGTATCAAGACCCGACATACAACACCATGGGCAACCCTTGGGTGGCGCGCAGGCAGTGTCTGTATAAGCTTACCGTGCGTCAGCCCAAGGGAATGTGTGTCCAGCCGTGCGTCATTCTAACGCCCTGCCGGTGTCCATGCGCAAGGCTGCAATTTTGAGTTTTGAACCCGCAACCTCATACCACGATGCGCATTTCCAACCGAAGCTCTAACCACTGAGCTACATCAACTGGACACCATAAGTGGTCCCTTTGGTTGAAGGCGCCATCTATGGGTGGGGAGCTGCACCTGCTGGAAAACGGATCCAGCATCCTGTTATAGTAGATTGATTGCCAGTGACAAGTTGCTTAAACCACCAGTACTTCACCCAGCCATTCATGCCAAACCGGTGGGGGAAATTTATTGGTTGCCACTGGTAGCGCCCTTTATGCTGGACCTGTTCCCAGCAGCTGGAACGAAATGCGGCACCACCCCAGGTGTGCTGAGAAGTGCAGCCAGATACATTCTGGGAAGAGCTTCGTGGAATGCCCTGAATTAAAAGGGGTTGTTAAAATATATATATATATATATATATCGTCAAATAGAAATATATATATATATATATATTGTCATATGTGACGATATATATATATACGATATAAAACTCCGACGAAACAGTTTGTCACAGCCCCTCGTTTGTTGTCCTCTTCTCCCTCTCTGCCTACGGTTTACCGGGCAGTTCTATTTGACGATATATATATTCTATTTGACGATATATATATATATAAAAGAAGGGGAAAAAAAGGGGAAACTACGAGGGAGTGAAATGGTTTTCACCTTTGCAGTAGCAGTTGCAGTTCCCAGGGCTCGATCCCCAGACCTCACCCTTACCCGTGTACAGTACCAGTTGACCAGTGTGTGCTTGAACCTGCAACCTGTGTCTTTATGGTCTCCTCTTTGTTTGCTGTAGGTAGGGTGGTCGTCTAGTCTTGAACAGTAGGTCTGTAGATTAGCAGTCTTAGCACTGGTAGGGGTCGTAGCTGCTACAGTACCGAAAGGTCAACAGGTCGTACCTGCGACAGCACCGAGTAGGCAGTCTAACTGAGCCCAGTCAGCGGTCCTGGTCGCACCTTGTCAAGTCAGAAAGTACCATGTGGGACTGTGTGCACCCGGGGCCCAGGGTCCAAGGGCAGGCCTTTGACAATCCGAAGTATAAATAAAGATGCAGCGTCAAGTCATTCATTCATTCTGCCTGTGAGCCTTGCGGAAGTGCTGTCGGAGCGTCTTGTGTACGAAGGTCTGCAGGTGCCCAAAGAGGAAGTGGGCTAAGAGGAAGAAGACCTGTCCATAGCCGCTTGTGTTAGTGATAGGAGGTACAAGGCCACCATAGCTGCCAGTTAGCTTAGTTAGTGTGAGTGTGTGGGTTGAGTGTGTTGTGTTTGTGCGAGGGGGATATCCAGGGAGATCCAGGGTGTGTGTACGAACAAGTTTGAATCTGAACTGTGTTCTTGGCTACATTAACTCTGAGCTTTGTGTGGGCACAAGCTGCCAGCTTGATCGTCATCTGTTTGTACGCATCTGAGTGTTGGAGAAGACAAGTCTGATTGCATTGGCATCGGAGCTGCTTCCCGCTGTCCCGATTTCGTCATCGCCCGCATTCGTCGTCATCAAGCGAAGTAGGAGCGCCACGTCAGCAAGAGAGACGCGCCACATCATCACTGGGCGCTGCCGTTAGACCGCGAAAAGAGGAGGGGCGCTCTGCACCGTTGCGAGAAGAGGGAGAGTGGCGCTATCTCCGTTGACGTCGTTGCTGCCGGAATAGAGGAGGAGAGGCGCCCGCCTGGATGCCACGTCATCGCTGCTGCTGTGGCGGAAAGAGAAGGGCCGCCATCATCAATCGCGCCGAAGATAGGGGCGCACCACGTCAGCGGGGAGGAGGAGAGGCACCGAGCGCCCACCAACGCGCCACGTCATGGTGCGCTTCCGCAGATCGCTGGGGCTGCTCATTACGGCGCGCGCATAGCTGCTTGCCACGCGCTGCCTGCCAGTTCCCGCGCGTCCAAGTTCCATGCGCCTGCCTGCCGCACGTTGCTGCGCACCCCGCAGTTTGCCGCGTGCCGGCTATTGCTAAGTCGTGCGCACGAGCGCGCCATTGCCCGCACCTGCTACTTTCCCACACACGTTGCAGGTTGCGCGCACACCGTCCGCTACGGCTAATCGCGCGCTACCCGGCCTTGCGCACATCCGTGCTCCCCGCGTGCATACTGCGCGCCGCTGCCGCTCAAGGGCTGCTTGCTGGCGATTGCGCGCGCCTCGTAGAAGTTTGTGCGCCCGTATGAGCTGCCGCGCGCGTTGAGGAAGGCCATCGAACTAAAAGGGGGAAGGCGTGGTACGGCGAAGAAGAAGATCGCCATAGAACCTCGCGATCGAAGAGGGAATGCCGGGTTGAGCGGGGAGATTGTCATTACAAGAAGAAGGTTGGGGGTGGACGACCGAAAAGAAAAGAAACGACGATGAACGAAGGAGAGAGAGAGAGAGAGAGAGAGAGAGAGAGAGAGAGAGAGAGNGAGTAAAAGAATGAGAGGTGGGAGAAAAGGTGGGGTGGGGGGAGGGGTATGAGTAAGAGGAGAGAGAGAGAGAGGTATGGAGAGTGGGTTAGTAAAGGAAGGGGAGAGAGAGAAAAGATACCTGGCCCTTGGTGTCCCCAAGGGCACAAGGTACACCAAGACCAGGAGGGTCTTGGCCTTCGCTGCAGCAGCCAGTTGGAGGAGGGAGGGGGCTGAGATCTTGATCAGCCCCTACTGCAAATCTGCAGATCTAGGGTATGTTGTGTGAGCATACCCTCACAGGTGTAGAGCAGCCCCTAAAACACAGGGGGCCTTCAAGTCCATAGCAAAGTGCCATGTGGTGGCAACGTGCACAGGCAGCAGCAGCCAGGGAGGAGGGGGGGGTTAAATAGCCAGCACGACACCTCTTCAACATGAGTGTGTCGTGCTACAAGGTCATAGACACTCTGTGGCGAGTGTGTTATAAGGCTGCTTACGCATGCGCATGGCCTGGCAGGCACCTGGGTTCAAACCCCAGCAGCAGCAAAACTCCGGGATCTTGATAATATAAATCTAGGAGCGGGGCAGGGCGGGGCAGCGTGGGCGTGTGGCGCGCGCGTGCGGCGGCCTCGGCCTTGGCGCTTACGCGCACGCGCTCATGATGGCGCCTCCCTTTTTCGCCACGTGTCACCTGCAGCGGGCGCCACTTTTTCTCCCTCGTTTTCGCTGCAGATAGCCCAGATCGCCCAAAAAACACCCAAAAAAACCGCTGTCGGTTTTGCTGTATTCCAGCTGTGCAGGGTGCTGGCAAGCTGTACGGGGTGGTGGGTGGGAGCGAGGACCGTTCCCGCTCCGATACCAATGTAGCGGACGCACCACGTGTGGTGCTCCGCTAGTGGTAGAGATGGAGATGGAGATGGAGGAAGAAGGGGGGGAGCGAGATGGCACAACGCAGCTCCCCACGCAAGACTCCAATGCACGTACTCCGAAATGTGCAAGTGAAGAATGAGGACGAAACAGACAACTGCAAGGGTATACCCCAGCGGACTGACTGGACTGGACTGGACTGGCTGGTACCGACAAAGGTACCGGCCTGGACTGGACTGGACTGGACTGCCCCCGAATAGAACACAGGCCTGTGTGAACAGGCCAAGGGGCTGGTCTCGCAAGCCAACCAGAGGTCCGCTACAGTAATGTGGGTCCATGTGCGTGTCGGGGGACATCGGCCTTGTGTTCGGACGACTCCACATTATGATAACATCTGTGTCACCACCTTCCGATGTAAACGGGGAAGTCCGCGTCCCGAACAATTGCCCCGTGCTCTGGCCGCATTAGGGAGTCCACGGCCTGCCACCCATGCCCATGCCAGTGGTGTGTGTGGACGGTGACGCCATCCCGTAACCTGAACCCAGGCTCGCATCTGTCGTGCACACCCTCGCACCATACACGTTGCACGGCCGTTGGCCCGGGAGAAGATGATCACCAACACCGTAACCACCGATCTCCCGCATGTCCTGTGCTGGCGGACCTTCATGCGCAACACCGACGTGTATGCTGTCGGCAGACTGCCCGACATACCCTCCACCAAATGTCGACGGCAGAGCAGGCGCAGTTGCACGGAAGCAGGCACGTCCCGTCGCCGGCGGAGCCTGACGCACGGCGCCAAATGAATGCATGCTCGGTGTGGACAGCCTGCGAGAGTGGGGCCGTGCATGCACATAGCCGTCGTGCATGTCATTACCAGCATGCAAACCGACGTCAGCATCACCTGTCCAACGTGTGGACTCCATCGCCTCACTCCCGGCTTGGAGATGGCCACAGTGCAGACGGAAGGCGGAAGCTTTGCCTGCCCTTTGTCTCGACGTCAACTACAGACGACACAAGGACAGCGACGACACACAACAACAGAAAAGACAAAAACAACAACACCCCTGCTACGAAAACGAAAAGCAAAACAACTGCTGCACCCAGAAAGATCGATGATGCACCAACACCATGCCCGATACTGTGACCGCTTGACAAGCGGTCACAACAGCAGTACAGTCCACGACAGAACAGCAGCGACACCCCCTGCAAGGCAAACGTGTGGATGAAGCCGCGCCCTGTCCAATCACCACGTGCCCGGTGCTCGCGTGCTGACGCTCTCCAACATGGCTGCGGACCTCCGCTTGTCGGTCCCACAACGGACGACCTCCGCTGCACGTCGGCTGTCTCGGCGAATGAACTATGACAGAAGGTGAGGTGGATGCGCGGAGGACAACCGACGGACCAGATGAGGGCAGCGACGACGACAGCACCACGTCAGCGCATCCATCGCCACGGGAACAACCTTGCAAAGCTGCACGGCTGGGGACGACGAGAGGAGAGCGCAGCACCATCCGTACAGCAGCGGAGGCATCCGTGTGCGACTCACGGAGTCTGGAAAATAGACGTCCGACTGACGTGGCAGCACCACGGACAGAAGCCCCACGGCCAATACACGAGATGTGATGGAGTATCCGCATGGCAGATCGTTCTTCCAGCCGACGCTCGGATGGAGAAGACAGTTGCGGAGAAGGAAGGCGACCGATTGTGAGTGCACTCGTGAACGACCGTGTGCAGCATGCTCCGGTAACCACCCGCCTCAAGTACATGTTGTCGCGTTTTCAAATTCCGTTCACCCACCGCCAAAATTCGAATTTGGCGTTCCCGCCATCTGTGGGTGTGAGGCGGGACCACTTTTGGGGACCACCGTCTGGTACGACCAACGGCCTGTCCAAATGACTCGTGCGACACGGTTTTCGCCCGCAGTGTGTCATCCTGGTCCAGCATGAAGTCCGTGCCGCCCGTGAACTGCACCACACCTTGCCACTCCCCGACGCCAGCGGTGGGCGCTTTGCCCTCCACCGCCAGAAACAGGGCACTTTGGAAAACGAGTGCCGGTTTGTGTCAGAGACTTTTCCAGCAACCAGCCATGTAGAAACACGGCCACCACGGTCTCCAGGACGGCAGTGGGGTCTGCAAACCACGTTCGCATACCTCAAAATCGCTTCCCGGCGGCCTGGTGGGGTCCGAAATTGACCTTCCACGCCTGAACTTTTCCAGGTGCCGGCCAGTGGGGTCCAGGCCTAAGTCTTAGTAGTTCTGGTAGGTACGTAGTGAAGGTGAATTGAAAGAATTTTTGAAAGATGATGAAAGATTTTAGAGACGAATGTAGCTTAGTTTTTAAAATTAAAAAGAAAAGAAAGGAAAAGAAAAAAAAACATATAATACCGTCGACAATCATTGACTTCGTTCCAGATCACGCCCGAGGAAGAAGGGGGGGGGGGAAGCAAATGAGGGTTGGTTTGGCAGCCGGGGGGGGGAGGGGGGGGGGGGGGGCCAGCAAGCTCGGAACTGGTAGGGGGATCCAACTGTGACACGCGGGCCGACAGAGACGAAAAGGAGGGATAGAGGGAGAAAAAGTAGAAGTGTGGGTGCAGAGGAACAGGAGAGAATGAGAGTGAGGGAGGGGGAGGGGGAGGGTGAGAGAGGGAGAGAGAGAGAGAGAGAGAGAGAGAGAGAGAGAGGAAGAAGGGGGGGGGGGAAGCGATACAAGATTGGTTTTGCAGCCACGAAGAAGAAAGTGCCGGCCATAGCCACCAAGCTCGGACCTTGCCACGAAGGAGAAGATCTGGAGTGATGAAGACGAAGTGAAGGGAGAAGAGAAAAAGGGGAAGGAGAGAGAGAGAGGTTGGCGAAGGAGAAGGGTCGACAGCCATAGCCGAAGCTCGGAGCTTTGACCGGGAGCTTTGACCAAGTTGACCAGCCGTTGACCAGCCGTTGACCAGAGGGTGTTGACCAAGTATTTGACCAAGCTGGAGTTGGTATAATCTCGCCAAGCCTTCAGCCTATCCCCTCACCCTGTGGATGTGCACTTACCCCCTGGTACTTGTTGAATATGCTTGTATCTTCTATTTGCATTGAGTCACTTCTGTCCAGGTTGATAGGACTTCGTGCATGTGGTCATAGAGCTGTGTTGACCAAACCTACACGGCCTAAGTAGGGCGTAAGTCCATGTCTCACGACCCTCCCAAGGACCGGTACAGACAGGCGGGCTGCTCAGTGTGGCATGGTAGGCCCAAAATCCAAATTGTGGGCTGCACAACTAGTTGTCTAAGTCTTGAGAGAGCTCTGTTGATCACGCCGTCCTAACTGCAATGTTAAAGAATTCCTGAGGAGTTATGGGGGATCTCCTTAAATGCCTCCTGATCAGCAACAAAGTTTTGTAGTGACAACCTAGAAGTAGGTCCAGGCTAGAGACCCTAGTTGACAGGATCTAATCCAGAGAGAAAGCCAGGTGGGATTGATCGCTGGTGCATGGTGCACTGGGATCTAGAAAGTTTTGAGTGACGGTGGTGGCGAAATCTTCCATTGGCTGTGGTAATCTCGCTGAATCAAAGGAGGGATTTTTGTGGTCCACAAAGAGTCAATTAGTCAGTCAATCAGTGGGTGGAAGTCTAAGTGGTGAGGAGTGAAACTTTCACTGGTTGTGCATCCTTCACCATGGTGACCACATGAGCAGGAACGAAAACCACCCCATACAGCAAGTCTCAAGAAGAGCAAGTCGTCGCCCTGCTGAAGGAGAAGAAAGAAAAGACGGAGAAGAAGGAGTTGATAAAGAAGGCAAAGATGTTGGCCTTCATGGAGGAGCAGAAGGCCAAACAGAAGCAAATGGAGGAGGAGACGAAAAAGTGAAAGAAAGAGGAGGAGGAGAAAATGGTGGCGATAGAAGTAGAAGCAGGAGCAGAAGCAAAGAAAGAAGAAGAAGAAGAACAAGCAGAGATTACCCTCCAAAGGAATGTAAGGAGGGAAGAGAGAGGGGAATCCAGTGAAGCGCAAGAGATAAAAGCAAAAATGAAAAAGACGGTGACAGAGTAGGTGGCCAACCTGGCCCTGGGGGAGGAAGAAGAAGTATTGTTGCTTGTCCCTCAGGCGGAGAGGGAAGCTTTTGAAAGAGAATTGGAAGCCAAGGAGAACCCCTTGCGGCGACAAACCACAAATGAGGAGACTAAATTGGAATGAGAACTGCCTAACAAGGGAGAGGAGGATGCAATTGGAGGCGGTTGAGACAATGGAGAAGAACTTGAGGGCCACCGAAGAACAAAGAGGGCAATTGGCAGCACATGTAGACGTCCAGAAGCAAATCCAGATTTTGTCCCTGAATATGGAATTAGTATTGAGGGCTCAACAGGAACAGCTCATGTCCCTGAATATGGAGTTAGTATTGAGGGCTCAACAGGAACAACTGCGCTATTTAAGGGGTCACGATATTGCATTGCAATCAATGCGCACAAATTTCAAAGATTTTGCAAGGAATCTGATGATGCGTGGGGGCACTGAGTTGCACAACACTATGAAAGGTACTGAAAGGTTTTGCGTCAGTGCCATTGAATGCGCCAAGTTAGCGTCCTCCAAAGAAGAGGAGGCACGACCCAGTCGTGAGCGCATCAAAGTCAAAGTCCCTGAGCCCTATGGAGGGAAAAAGGGAGAGGATTTTGATAATTGGGAAGCCAATATCAAATCCTATATACAACTCCAACTTATTAAGTCTGAGAACTATGTTCTCGTGGCATTCCAGACACTGAAGGATAAAGCGGCCAGCTTTGCTAGGGCACTTGCTCGTGCCGCCAACTGTGACAATGATATGGTCACATACTCCTCCGTTACTCAATTGAACGGATTTTTGACCGCCCTCCGGGAACGATTAGCAGATGTCACTAGGAGACTTAGGGCTTCAAAGAAACTGCAAACAATCCACTCGCGTTAGTGGAAAAGTGCAAGATCACCCATGGCCACCATGAATGAGTTTGTCGCTGTCCCTAGACATGGGGTTACCGAGCCCAACCCGTCCAACTGTTATATCGTGCCATGCCCGAAGCTTTGCACGACCACTTCTTCGATAAGAACCAGCAACCTAATATGACTTACGATACGCTTAGTAGGGAGCTTGTTGCTTATGAGGCCCAGTTCATGCCAGCGACCACTTTCTGGCACAAGGACCTCGACAAAGGTAAAAAGTGGAGGGGTTGGACCATCACCAGTCAAGTAAAGGCCAAAGATAGCCTAATTCTTGGTGGTCTGGAGGAGGTCCCCTACAATGAGATTGAGTAGGGCCTCGATGAGGAGGACAGTGGTGAAGGTCAGAGGAGGACCTACGCTGCTGTTGCGGTCGGAGGGAGGCCACAAGGAAGAGGGAGAGGTCGAGGCCAAGGGGGTCAGACCGCGGGTGGTCGAGGACAGGGCGGCCAAAGGGTCGGCGGCAAGGGAAACCGCCAAGAGGGAGGGAGGGGTCAAGGTCACCCGTTGAACCGTTCGCGTTCCAATGGATTACCTCCCAGGAGGGGTGTATGGCACCCTGGTCTGCCTCAGGGCAAACCACGAGAATCGCTGGGCATGGAACAGGAAGTCTGGTAGAGAAGGATAGACGCAGGTCATTGCATTTATTTGCGGTGACCCTGGGCATACCATAAAGTACTGCCCAAAATATAGTGATGTCCGGCGAGCTGTTGCAGAGTCATTAAAAGGCAACCGCCGGTAGGGGTAACAACTGCCCTTACCCCTAGGCCATGTGGAGATGAGTGCGCGCGCCAAGTGGAAACTCCCAATCCACATGTGTCTATGGCAGAGGTTGTTGGCCACCGTCTAATCAGCTGTCCAGAAACTGCTTGTGTTAGGGTTTCTCTAGGAGCTTCCCTCACAGGACTGGCAAAAGAGTTGAAGGAGAAGATACAAGTCTGGGCCAAGATGAAGAAAAATGAGAAAATGCAGCTAGTCGTGATAGATGTAGAAGTCTTCAGAGGTAGGGTAGGGGCCCTTATAGATAATGGGGTCACCCGTAGCTACATTAGTCGTAGAGCGCTAAAGAAGCTAAAGCTGAATTTGAAAGTCCAGACGCTAGATGAATCCATAGTCAGTATCCTCGCAGACAATCTCGCGCTGCGAATCGAGAATTACAATGAGGGGGTCCAGGCGTACTTTAGCCTACAGAAAGATAGGAAGGTAAAAAAAGTTCTTCATTCCCTGACTCTCCTCGTAGAGGACAATCTCCCATTTGATATGCTCCTAGGAATGGACTGAGGAGAGGCAGCAGGAGCCACACTGCACCTAAGAGAGCATGAGTGTAGGCTTCCTAGTCCCTCATGTGGTGTCAAGACGGCCCACATGTTCCAAATGTCAGGAGTAGGTAACTCCTTGGCACATTGTTCTCTCAGTGCTCCCGTGTTCGCGCGATTAGTAAAGAAGGAGCAGTTAGAAGAGCATGGCTTTATGGCCTATGTTAGGCCAGTCACTGAGCTTGAGAATGAGGAACCAACCAACCCACTTATTGCCAAGTTGTTGGAAGAGTACGCAAATCTATCTGAGGCTCCGTCAGGAGTGGTTCTACATCCTATCCAGCACTGCATTGAGATAGAACCTGGCAGTAACACTCCCAAGGGAGCAGTTATAGGATGTCTCCCAGGGAGTTAGAGGAGTTGCGCAAGTAGTTAGACGAGCTCCTAGAGAGGGGTTGGATTAGTCCCAGTTCGTCTTTATTTGGAACACCTGTTCTCTTTGTTCCCAAGAAAGAGCGAGAACTTAGGATGTGCATTGACTATAGGGGTTTCATCGCGGTTACAGTAAAGAATGCAGAACCTTTGCCCCGTATAGATGAGCTGTTGGATCGGGTGCAAGGCTGCAAGTACTCCTCAAAGATAGATTTGAAATCAGGGTACCATGAGATAGAGGTTCACCCTGATGACCAATACAAGACGGCATTCAAGACTAGATATGGGCACTATGAGTCTATAGTGATGCCCTTTGGACTAACCAACGCACCGGCCACATTCCAGCGCTTTATGAATGACTTGTTTAGGTCGTGGTTACATAGCTCAGTTTGACTCCGAGCTCAAGCCAGTCAAAGGAAAGTATAATGTAGTTGCAAATGCCCTTAGTAGGAGAGCCGACTACTTTGGAGCTATAGTTCACGATCTGGATATAGGGTCAGACTTACAATTAAAAGTCGTAGATGCGTACACGTAGGACCCTATCTATAGTGACCTCCTAAAGAGAGTCAAGGAGGACCCAACCAGTGAACCTTGACTACCACGCCACTAATAAGTTATTGTTTGAGAAGACAGACGTCGTAGATCGGCTATGCATTCCAAACAACGAAGAGATCCGTAGCCTGATCTTAGGGGAATGCCACGACACAGAACAACATTTTGGTTGGCAAAAGATATTGGCCAACCTAACACGTGCCTACACGTGGCCTGACTGGAAAGCTGATTGCATAGAATATGCACGTAGTTGCAAGGTATGTCAGCGCAACAGAACTACGACGCGAGCCCCATTGGGTCTTTTCAGACCCTTGCCTATCCCATCAGGACTCGAAGACTCGGTGTCCATTGACTTCATGGATGTCGAGGTCAGGAGTAGGCATGGCAACAGCCAAGTCATGGTCATAGTAGACCGTTTTAGCAAGTATGTCGTTTTTGTTCCTTTGCCCTCATAGGCATGTACAAAGTTAGTTATAGAGAAGTGTAATGACCCGCCATAACACAGACTTAGAACACTGCTGATTTTTGAAGTTCTGCCGATGGAATTGATGCCTTGCCAAGATTCCCGCATTCTGCTGTGTTTTCTAAGTTTGTATGTGTGCGTGCCCGTGGACTTGCGCGCCTGTCTGAGTGCTTGTCGGCATGAGTGTGTGTGTGACCCGCAAGGGTACTTGCTTGTTTGGCAGGCCCGTAGGGCCGGTACTTACCTGTGGCCGTGGCATTGAGGGTTGCAGCAGGGAAAACACTCAAGTAGCGGAGACAGGGGTCCGCGGTGCTTAGAGCAGCGAAAAAACACTTAAGTAGCAGGTAGGCCGGTGCCGCACCCAGTAGCAGTAGATGTGTCGGGTACTCGAAGCCGAGCAGAAGAAGACAAAGTTGACATTTTTAGAGGCCCAGTAGCGGTAGGCTAGGTCTAGGTCAGTACCAGTCCATCCAGTCTGAGTCTCGAGCCTGTACGGGCAATATCAGAGTCTGCAATGATGTTTCCCTCCGAAAGGGAGGAGGTACCGGTTGCTTGGGAGGCCGAGCGGCCTAGAAGTCACCGCCCAGGAGGCAAGCAGGCCGCTATATCAAGAGGCCGAGACAAGAGTTCGGCCTCATTTTTCAGTGCGCAAGTTTTGCGACACGCTGCTCGAGCACTAGCTGGAGTGGTGCTGGGTACTACAGCGCTGCTAGGAGGAAGAAGTCGGGAGCTTCCACCTTGGCTATGGTGGAGCTCTACAGGTAGGAGGAGGAGGGAGAAGGGGACCAAGGAGGAGAGTGGTGGGGTACTTACCTGGCTATGGTAGACACCATCTTCATCACCTTGTTAGGCGCTGCATCAGGAAGGCCCCAGTGGGGGTAGTGCCGCATCAAGGAAGCTCGGGACAGAGTCAGGCATAGCGGTTTAGTGGGCAGCGGCATAGCTGCACGGAGTTGACCTGGGGACAGAAGGGCAGCGACATAACTGCTTTGGGTTGTCCTTTGGACAGGAGGGAGAGCCCTCAGTACTCCGCCATAGCCTCGGCCTGTATGTAGAGGAAGAGGAAGGGTGGCCATGGCTATGGTGGACCTCATGTTGTGCCTGCAGTAGAGAAGTGGGATTCGGACATTGATTCTGGTTCCGCAATTCAACAGTATTATTGTTATTTCTTGTTTGAATAAGAGGGGAGGAGATAAGGAGGGGGAAATTGGTTGGCGAGGAAGAAGAGCCTTGTCATTGGTCTATGTTGGAGTACATCATCTTCTTCTTCATTCTTACTTCTTCTTCTTCTTCTTTCCCTCTCTCTCCTCTCAAGTTCATTCATTTCTTTTTGCAATTGGATGACATTGTACTTTCTCATGTTTGTATACTTCGAAATTGGTCAGGATCGTAACATTGGTATCGAAGCGTATTCTACTTGTTGACGAGAGTTGACTTTGCTGTCCTAACCCCTAACCCTAGTGGTAAGTGCTAACCACTTAGGGTTAGGGCAGAAGTTAGGGTTAAGTGCGGCAGCGTGGTAAAGGGAAGTTGCCCCCACCTGGCAGGGCCGTGTTGGGTCGACACTAGACCCGACCAGGTTGCTTGAGTGCATGTTTCTGGTGGCGAGACACAAGGTGGGACTTCGTGATGCAACTTGAGAGAGGTGATAGTGAAGGGCACCTACAACTTTAATCTGGACTTCAAGGAAGATGAGGAGTGACTTTAGGGCTCCCCTCAAGTTAGGGGAGCTCTAGGGTGGCAGCCATATCTGCACCTAGGGACTGCAAGTTGTTGCATTGATCTTCAACATCGACGGGGGATCCGGCTTTGTACTTTGGGGTAGATGTTGACCCTCCTAGATGATAGGACACTAGTGTAGAGGATGGTAATTGGGTCAGGAGGACTATGTGAGGGGGGGGTGAGTTCTTTCATCTCAAGAGCCCGACCACTCAGGTAAGTGTCGTGCCGCCAGGGTGCCCATGTGTGTGTGCATGGAATTGACTGCCTGTTGGGGTTTTCTGGGTTCTTCTTCCATCCTCCATAGTCTTGATCTTGCGTGAAGTGCGCGAACTGCTTACTCGCCTGATGAGTGAATGGATGGAGTATCTTGTGTGTCATGCTAAATCTTTCTACAGTGCTTTATCTATTTCATTCTGAACGGTTGTAGTCTGTAGATTCTTTCTGGGGCAAAATTTCGTTTTTCAATTCGGTAGGGACATAGTAGGTCTTTGTGGAACTCTTGTTGGTTGGGACCCGGTTTTGACTCCACTCGGACCGTTTGGGACTCAGTGGGACCAGGCCCAAACAAGAAGGGCCCCTCAGGCCAAATGTGTTGACGTTAGTTACCTTGCTCTATCTGATTGGGACTCAGACTTTATGATTTCGGACCAGAACACTCGTTGCGGAGGGGATATCCGTTAAGACGTTTTATTGGACTTTACCGCACGATCCGCCGTCTGACTCGCACCTTGAGCACCACTCAATTCTTTCTTGCATTACGTAGTACACTTTGAATCTGATTTGCTGTGTCTTTACGGAGCTGAGTTCGACTAGGCTTGAGAGGACCTCATAAGTAGTCAATCCAGACTGTGTGGATAGATCAGATCTCTCTGATCTTTATTTCTTTTGTTGTTTTGACTTCTCTCCAGTCCAAATGAATTGCCGCTCCGGCTAGGAGTTCTACCTTCTCTTCTGATTGCTTTCAAGCTGTTTCTTTTACTGGGTTCGTTAAATGCATGCGTCTACACGATCGCAAACGAGAGAGAGAGAGAGAGAGAGAGAGAGAGAGAGAGAGAGAGAGAGAGA